TTGTGCTGTATCACAGTTATCATTCTCAGTTGCTGTCAAGTCGATTCTGACTCATGGCAACTCCATGTGTGTCAGAGTAGAATTGTGCTTCACAGGTTTTCAATGGCTGATTTTTCAGAAGTAGATTGTTAGATCTTTCTTCCAGGGCACCACTCGGGGACTCCATCACACTGTTAGCCCCGGTTATACAAGCAGCTATAGTGCAAAACAGAATGCGAACAGGCCTATTGGAAAGTGAACTTGGGCCAGAGAAGGCTTAATGGAAGATATGGCTTCTTAAATGGGCCTTGGAGATGGAATCGGGATGAGAGGAGATGGTCAGCAGAGTGGCGAGAGGCGAAAAGAGAGGAGGACCCTTCAGGGGGACACGCAGAAGGGAAAGCATGAGCAATATCACCTGGGCAGGACTGTGCAGTCACCACAGGGGAACAGTGAGAGCTGCCTTGCAGAAAGTCCCCCTTATCTCCCCAAAACTAACACAATTGAAGACAGATAACTACCCCCCGCCAGGCAGCCAGAAGGCAATGACTTACCCCAAGGTTGCCCTTTCTGATCCTGGAATTGGATCATACTGGCTGCATTCATCGTCAATGACCCTGACATCTTCACAGTCATCCTCATCAGAGCCATCAAGGCAGTCCCTGTCTCCATTACACAAAAGGTGGCGTTTCAGGCAGCGACCTGAGAGAAAAAGAGATGCTGTAGATTCTTCCAGCCCCTCCCTGGACTCTCCCTTCTCTCTCATGATTCACATCTATAGTCACCAAGTCCTGCCCATCAGTCCGGCCCTGAAATTGCCCTTAAATCTGTTCCATCTTCTCTCCCTTCTCACTGCCCCTGCCCTCCTTCCAGCTTCCTTATCTCCCACCTGTAGTCTTCTAGCAAGTGCCCTGCCCCGTCTCTCCCTTTCTAATCCAGCCTCCCATTGCAGCCCCAGTGGTCTTTCTAAAAGGCCAACCTGGCCATGTCACCCCTGCTCTGTATCCTCCAGTGGCTTCCAATTGCTCTACTTCCAAATGTCACAGTCTGGCACAAAGGGCTTTTCTCACCTGGCCCCTGGTTACCTCAATGGCTTCATTCCCCAAAGTCCTGACACTGCAATTTTTCTGGCCAATTACTAGTCCCCGAATCGCCGTGCTTTTACTCATTCTTTATCCCTATTTCCCAGAAGCCTCTGTTGTTGTTTTTTTTCATTGTTCAAGTGGCAGCTCAAGTACTTTTTTGAAGCCTGACTGTCTCTCCAGAGCAGATTTGGGCACCCACTTCTAGAGAGTTCCACTGAACCATGTACATATGCCAATTACAGCCATTATCACACGATATTGTAATTGACTCTTAGTAGGACTCTCTCCCAGGAGCCCTCGTAATGCAATGGTTAGCGCTCGGATGCTAATCAATAGGTCAGCAGTTCAAACCCACCCAGAAGCTCCACAGGAGAAAAGACCTGGCAATCTGCTCCCATAAAGATTTCAGCCTAGGAAACCCTACAGGGCAGGTCTACTCTGTCGTATGGGGTCAGTATTAGTTGGAACCAACTCAACGGCACACAACAATAGGACTCTCTCCCAAACAGACTAGCAGTGCCTCCAGGTTAGGGACATTATTTTTTCATTTCTGTGTTGTCAGCACGTAATATATGCCCAATAAATATTTGTTAAATTAATATATGCATGAGTGACTTGTACATTTCTAAATGAATCAAATAGGTTTTATTATAAACTTGCATCAGAATTACCTGGGATGCTGGCTTCAGATGCAGATTCTGGGGCCATAGCTCAAACCTACTGAATGACGAGCTCTAGGGGAAGGGCTCAGGAGCCTGCATTTCAACAAGCTCCCTGGGTAAGTGCTTTGTACTTTAGATTTGACAGTCATAGCTGTTATCCTGCTGGAATGCTACTCACCTGTCTCCTTACACTGGAAATCCTGTCCACACTGTGCTTGCCTTAGACAAGCTGTGGGACTGTGACAGCTGGCTTGATCCCAGACATCACCACTGCATATGTCTCCCCCAAACTTGTTTGGCTGCAGGAGGGTCCGGTATCGGTACTAAATCAGATTTTTAAACAGACACATTATTGTCAATCAACCAAGATTTGTGCAGGCAGGTCTCAGCTCACCATAAGCAATAACCATCTCATGATTGAGAACTGCCCGCAAAGCTGTCTTTTGAGGGGACGAGGGCTCATAAACAGTGATGTGCAAACAGAGGTGGCATAATCACCAGCTGGAATATTGCATACAGCCTCCAAGCATCAAATGAAAGGCTTGGACCAATTATTTCAAGAGTCTTCCATTCCCTCCCCCCACCACCACCTTCTTTAACTATTTAATTGCTATTCATCTTTCAAGATTCAGGTTTTACCTCCTCTGGAAAGCTTCCCCTAATTAAGGTAGCGTCCTCTGGGCTTCTGCAGGTCCCCTTTCTCCTCTCTCTCCTAGCACTTGTCATATGAGGCTGTGATTGATCATTTTGCTATATAGCTATGTCTCTCACTAGTCTGTGAGCAATTTGAGAATGAGGGTGAAGTGGTGAATAAAGGAACATATCTTATTGGGCTTTATATGCTTGGCTCTTGGCCTTTGGTCAGCACACGGGAAGCACTTATAGAAGAGTTGTTGCTTTGACCCTGCAGCATCTCTTCTGGTCAGCACACACCTCTTTCCTGGGACATTCTCATAAGGTTCAGATGGAGTTGACCCCAACCCCTCAGTCATAAGGCTGTGTGGGTATTAACCAGGCCTGGCCAATCAGAGAAGCTTCCTAGATGCAATGATTGGTTCAGGGATTGGCACGTAACTCAATACAGGCCAATCATAGTCCTCTCTGGGGAATTCCCTTCAGAACTATTGGAAAAAACCAATTCTTTCCACTGGAGTTGCTAGGAATTGTAGGCATCCAGCAGTCATCTTGCCGACTATATAGAAAGGGCCCATCCAAGATATAGAGGGACAAAGAGAACTCTGAAGATACCACCTGAGCCCCGGGCTCCAGCCTTGACTGTCCCTGAATAAACGCTGTTGAAGAGAAACAAGGAATAAAAATACACAAAAATCTTGGGCTCTATGGTTTTATGGTTCTGTCTTCTATGTAGTATGTAGTATCAGGCACTTGTGTAGAAAGAGGAAGTTGAAGACTAGGATATTCAGAGACATATGAAACTCCATCCTTGCCTTCAAGAAGCTTATCATCTAGTGGAGGAGATAAAATGTATCCATAAGAAAATATAACAATACAAATCATTCTGTACGGATAGCAACCACACAGCGTTCCATAATGGAGAGTGCGGTCCCACATTTTCTGCTGTCTCTTACCTTGGTTCACCCATAGGCCCTTACTTCAAGAAAGTTTGTGGGTAAGTAAGAAAGCAAGGATTTGAGGAGCAAGACAAGTGAGTTCCTGACCCAAATCTATTTCTTATTTCCTATGTAATGTCAGGAGTCCCTGGCTGGTACAAATGGTTAATGCACTCAGCTGCTAACTGAAAGGTTGGAGGTTCAAGTCCATCCAGAGGTTCCTCAAATGAAAGCATGGAGATCTACTTCCCAAAAATCAGCCATTGAAAACACTATGAAGCACAGTTCTCCTCTGGCACACATGGGTCACCATGAGTCAGAATCGACTCAACAGAGCTAGTATGCAATATCAAGCAAGACACTTCATTATTTGTACCTGTTTCCAAATTTGTAAAATGAAATGGTTGACCTAGATGACCTCATTAATCACAATTACTAGTGATTCTTTCACTTGTATACTACAGTTTAAAGAACATGGGCATGAGAATTACACTTGGGTTCAGATGCTAGATCCCAGATCCCAAATTCACTTACCAACTGGACACAAACAAGCGCTGAGCTTTGACTTTCTAATATGTACATAGGTGTAATAACACCTTACCTTGAAAGGGTATTGTGAGAACTAAGTGAGAGAATGTAGGGGGAAGCACCTACCCCGGTGCCTGGGATATCATTGCTGCTCAATGAACAGAAGTGGTTTCCGCATTCATTACCCTCTCAATGCAGCCTTTTCCAGATGATTCAGTGGATGAGTTGTGGAGAAGTGTAACCTCCCCGTCTCCTGTTGCCAACCTCTGCTTGCTTTACACTGCTCATTTGCAAAGGGGCAGAGGTAGCAAGGAGAGATGAAGATCAAACCTTTCCATTTACCTTCCCTGCCCTTCAGTTAATAAGAACTTTGTAACCTTTGTGGGAAGAGGTTATAATTGATGACCAGTTGGGGAATATCAGAGTTTTTTAATGTTCCACCCACACTCCTGCCCCACCTTGCAGTAAAGAAAGGAGTGATTAGTGTATGAACATAGAGCTGATTTTCTTTCTCACTCTTGAAAAAGTTCATCAGATATCTAAAACCTACAGTTACTGACATGATAATGGCAATGGTAGCTACCATTTTTCAAGTACTTAACCCGTTGCCGTTGAGTTGATTCCAACTCATAGCGACCCTATAGGACAGAGTAGAACTGTCCTATAGGGTTTCCAAGGAGCAGCTGGTGGATTCAAACTGCTAGTCTTTTGGTTAGTAGTTGAGCTCTTAACCACTGCGCCACCAGGGCTCCACATTTTGAATGCTTACTCTTGTCCACTTTATGTTCTTCGTCTCATTTAATCCTCACAAGTTGATGAGGTTAAGTGTTATTATGATTCCCACTTTAAGCTGGGTTAGAATTCCAGTTGTGCTACTTACTGTATATGCGTCACTAAGTTAATTACTTAATTTCTCTGATCCTCAGTTTTCTTATCTGCAAAGTGGGAATATATCTGAGAGTGTTACTGTGAATATTAGTGATAATCCATGTAAAGAAACCGGCACTTTGTCTGGTTCCTGGTATACTGTCAAGGATAATACTTATCAACATCATCATCATTCTTACAACCAGCTGTTGGGCTGCTGCTGAAGGATTTATGACTGAGTGGGAAGTGGAATAGGGGAGCACTGATGTCACTTAGTACTCTCCAGAATACCTCGGAGGGAGTCAGCAGAGTGGTCAGGCCCATAGGCTCTTTGGAGTCAGACTAACCATGTTTTAAATCTAGGCTCTGCCACTCTCTTAATTAGTGACTAAAGCAGTTATTTCACTCCCCAAAGCCTCCGTGTTTTCACCTATAAAATGAGGATGATAATATCCATCGTGTAAGGTTGACTGTGAAATTCAAACAAGAGAATCCACTTAAAATATTAGCACAGTCCCTGGTATGTAGATACAGTTTAATGAATGGTGACGATTAATGGCAGTATCATTCTTCCTGTGGTTCCTGTATTTGGAATGACTGTGCAGGACATGAGGTTCATTCCCACTGGCTCCCTGTTTTCTGGGTGTGTATCAGATAATGAAGAGATTGTGCTGCAGAAAGGTTGGTACAGGCACCCTCTGAGGGACTCCGTGCTATTGCCTGTGGTTGGGATCATTAAGACACAATTTTCTCTCCTAGCTAGTAGATAATGTTTCTTTCCAGAAATGCACATTTTTGTTTGGATGATTTTGAGGGGGAGAAACATATTAATAAAAATGAGACTAGGGTGACCTTTCACTTAAATAATTAACAAAACTTAGTTGTTTTAAATATTTGTTTCAAGATACGTATGTCTTTTTGAGTCACCAAGGAAGCAATTCAATTCTGGTTTAAACTGTAAGTCATTCACCTGTGCTATCTGCTATCTAAACTGCAACACACGAGAAAAATGTAGTGTAGCATGTGCAGGGTGGCCATTATTCAACCTACTACACATCCTAAACTACAGAAAAGGAGAAGGCAATTAGACCATGCAGGCAGAGAATGGATGATGGGGCCACAAGCCAAGGAATGCCCACAGCCACCGGAAACTGGAAGAGGCAAAGAAGAGATTCTCCTCTAGAGCCTCCAGACAGAGCATGGCCCTGCTGCCACCTTGATTTCAGACTTCTGGCCTGCAGACAGTGAGAGAATAAATTTTTGTTGTTTAAGTCTTCCAGTTTGTGGTAATTTGTTACAGCAGCCTCAGGAAACGAATATAGGATATCAAAGCAAAATGAGAGTTTGGGGGCCAGATACTTTCAAGCAGAGGCAGTCTAGGATTCTTTGGCATTTCTCAGAGACGGGGGGGGGGGGGGGGGGTGGGCGGAGGGTGAGAATACTAACGTCAGGCTGTGAAGTTGTAAACATCAGGTTCAAATTGTGGTTCTACCACCTACTAGCTCTATGATCTTGAACCATGAGCACCTCTATGTCTCACTGAGGGTGGGTCTGGAGGGAGGACAGCCATCTGCAGACTCAGCAAGAGCCCAGGTGAGAGAAGAGCAGAACTTGCTCCAAGACAGCAGGAGTAGGGCTAGGGAGGAGGGCACAGATAGTGAATATAAAAATAGCTGACACTTATTGAACACTTACTATGTGCCGGATGCCATGAAAAGTGCATTGCATGAATTACTTATTTAACGCTCACAGTGACTCTATGAGGTAGCCATTATTACTATACCCATTTCAGAGATGAGGAAACTGAGTCACAGAGAGGATTTAAAAATGCCCAAAGTAACACAGTAAATAAGGAGTAAAGCCAGGATTTTAAACTGCAGAATCCAAGCTCAAATATTTGGATTTGACAGTAATGTACCAATAGGCAAGATTCAAGCTCTGATGTTGCAAGGGAATAGGGGGCGCCTGGGTGCATCCCACTTGGGGTGCATCCAATAAGGGCATGTATTGTCAGTAGACTATTTTAAAACTTAACAAAACAGAATAAAATTTGGTGCGCTTTTTACTATCAGCATGAGCCAGCAACTATAAACAAAGTCAATGATAAAATACTCCTCTCTGCCAGAGTGAGTGCTCCCATGTCGCCTTCCCTTAGTATGCCACTGGGTTTAGGGACTATTTTGGACTATTGGAAACCACTTAGATTTTAGCTAAATAACAGATTGGCTCATAAAATAAAGAATATCACCCGTGAGTTTTGAGCTCTTTCAAAAAATCATGTATATGAGACCAAATGGTCAAAAATTACACTAAAGCAAAGACAAGATGGTAAGGTGGCAGGGAAACTAGAGTACTAGAAATGGTACAACCAGAACGGGATGGATGAGAATGATGATATACATTGTGAAAAATGTAACCAATATCATTGAATAATTTCTGTGGAAATTGTTAAATGGGAACTTAATTTGATGTGTAAACTTTCATCTTAAAAACTATAAAATATTATTAAAAAAAAAAAAGAAAACACACACACACATTCAGACACGCCTCTGTCCACTGGGTGTGGCTGTTATCCAAGCCAGGAAAGTGGAATCCTCAGGAACACCTTCTGTGACATTTTCTGGTTTTTCTCAGCTAACAGCAGGTCATGGGCAACTTGGAATTTTATTACTAAGTCCTTAGTCCCCTCTGGATGGCCCTCATTAAAGGACAGTAGATTGGCCAGGACCCAGAGAAGCCATTAGAGATAAATGTGCCCATGTCCAGAAGGCCACTTTTCTGCATCTTTTTTGCAGCCTTGCCCAATATTGCCTCAGAAACAAAATTTGGAGAGGTAGAAATAAGTTCCACCATCCATGTGTCCATGATGTCCTAAAACCTATTTGTAGGCCAATGTCCTCCAGACCTCTAGACTTATGAGCTACATGGATGGATGGAGAAAGAGAAATAAAGAGACAGAATCTGCCATGGAGTCAACTCCAACTCATGGTGACCTTGTGTATTAACAGAACAAAATGTTTCCCAGGCCTGAGTATGTTCAAGTCCATCATGTGGCTATTGTGCCAATCTATCTCACCCTTGCCTTCATGGGCCCTCTATTTCACCAAACATAGTATCCTCCTCCAGCGACTGGTCTCTTTTGATGAAGTGTTCCAAGCAAGTGAGTCAGACAATGTTCTGTTGTGATCTATAAGGTTTTCATTGGCTAATTTTCAGAAGTAGATCACCACCCTTTCTTCCTCATCTGTCTTAGTCTGGAATCTCCACTAAAACCTGTCTACCATGGGTGACTCTGCTGGTATTTGAAATACTGGTGGCATAGCTTCCATCATCACAATAACATGCACGCTGCCACGGTAAGGCAATCGACAGATGAGTGGTGGCCAGACTTATAAACCCAATGCTTGTCTCCATTTGAATGCCTAATACACAAATCAAATATAAAATGTTCAAAAAGTGACCATAAATATCTTACCTTTTGATCCTGGCATGGAAAGCAATCTGTCCACTCTGACCAGCTGCTCAGCTGGCAGTTAACTGCTGTCAGGGTGGAACCTTGATCAGCCCGGCTTACTCTCCTAAAGAGAGAAAAGACTCCCACTCAATTTTGAGATATATAATTTAGGCAAAAAAGAAAGCTGTGCACATTTTCCTTCCAGTTAAATCACAGTTTATAAGAAATGAATAATACGGATGATAGCAACAGTTTGAGCATGAACAATCATTGTACCTCTACTAATACAGCTATGGTGCTGGAGGGTTATAATTATCTCTTTAAACTTATATCAATCCTGTGAGAATCAAATTATTCTAATTTTAGAGAGACAGGTACTGAGGAGAATTAACATGTTTTGAATATTGAGAGTAGCAGAAAGCTCAGTGGGATCTGAGGTCAGAGGAATGAGTTTGAATCTTAACCACTTGCTGGCTTTGAAAACTCAAGCAAGTTATTAATGTCTCTGTGCTACATCTTTCCTACTTGTAAAATTATATTAATAATAACATTATCTAATGGGGTTATATCCCTAGGTGGTGCAAACAGTTAACTCACTGTACTGATAACCAAAATGTTAGAGGTTTCAGTATATCCAGAGGCACCTTAAAAGAAAGGCCAGGTGATCTATTTCCAAACAATCAACAATTGAAAACCCTATAGAGTACAGTTCTACTCTGACACACATGGAGTTGCCATGACTCGGAATTGACTCCATGGCAAATGGTTTAGTTTTTTTAATGGGGTTATACTCTTGCAAATTAACGAGGACTTCAAAGAGCTTTCATAAGTGGGTTACATCTATCAAAGTTCACAGAATTCAAAATCAAAACTGAGAAATTTTTAAAATATTTATTTATTGCGGTTTAGGTGAATTTTACAGCACGTATTAGTTTTCCATTCAAAAATGTATACACAGATTGTTTTGTGACATTGGTTGCAATCCCTGCAATGTGTCAGCACTCTCCTCCTTTCCCTTTCCACCCCAGGTTCTCCATGTCCATTTGTACAGTTTTCCTGTCCCTTCTTGCCTTCTCGTATTTGCTTTTGAGTAGATGTTGCCCATTTGGTCTTGTATACTTGATTGAACTAAACAGCACATTCCTCACGTGTATTATTGTTTGTTTTACAGACCTATCTAATCTTTGGCAGAAAGGTGGACTTTGGGAGTGGCTTCGGTTCTGAGTTAGCAGGGTGTCCAGGGGCCATAGTCTTGGGGGTTCCTCCAGTCTCTGTCAGATCAGTAAATCAGCTTTTTTTGTGTGTGTGTGAATTTGAATTTTTTTCTACATATTTCTCCTGCTCTGTCCAGAACCCTCTATTATGATCCCTGTTGGAGCAGTTGATAGTGGTAGCCGGGCACCATCTAGTTCTTCTGGGCTCAGGCTGATGGAGGCTGTGGTTCATGTGGTCAGTTAGCCCTTTGGACTAATATTTTCCTTGTGTCTTTGGTTTTCTTCATTCTCCTTTCCTCCAAATGTGATGGAACCAAGAGATGTATTTTAGATGGCCTCTCGCATGTTTTTAAGACCCCAGACACTGCTCATTAAAGTAGAATGTAGAACATTTTCTTTATGAACTACGTTATGTCAATTGACCTAGATGTCCCCCAAGACAATGGTACCTAGACCTTAGCCCCAGTAACTTCGTCTCTCAAGGTGTTTGGGTGTGTCTATGAAGCTTCTATGGCTTTGCCTTGGGCAAGTTGTGCTGACTTCCCCTATATAGTGTGTTGTCTTTCCCTTCATCAAATTTAACACTTGTCCACTATTTTGTTGTTGTTCGGTGCTGTTGAGTCGGTTCTGACTCATAGTGACCCTAAGTACAACAGAACGAAACACTGCCTGGTCCTGTGCCATCCTTACAGTGGTTGTTATGTTTGAGCCCATTGTTGCAGCCACTGTGTCAATTCACGTTGTTGAGGGTCTTCTTCTTTTTCGATGACTCTCTGCTTTACCAAGCATGATGTCCTTCTCCAGGGACTGATCCTTCCTGATAACATGTCCAAAGTATGTGAGACACAGTCTCGCCATCCTTGCTTCTAAGGAGCATTCTGGTTGTACTTCTTCCAAGACAAACCTGTTCATTCTTTTGGCAGTCCATGGTATATTCAATGTTCTTCGCCAACACCACACTTGTCCACTGTCTAGTTAGTGATTTCCCCTCCCCGCCACTCCCCTCCCTCATGACCATCAAAGATTTTTTTTCTGTGTATAAACCTTTTCTTGAGTTT